GCAATACAATAACTCCTTGACCTTCAAAAAGAAAGCATTCTTCCCTTTTACCACCTGCAGATTGGAAGATAAAGAAATGCACGACATGGCAAACAATGTAGGAGCTCGGAAGACACCATCGAGAGCACAATTCGCAGAGCTCAGTGATACCTGTGTCCTTGATGTAAAGGAAATATAGGCAAACACCTAGCACGGAGCAACAGCTAGAACACTGCGATTCAAGTCATCTGCAGACTGCACACACTTGTTACTGGTCCACACGTTCAGTAAGGAAGTTTAGTGTAAGTGTTCAGACACTTTTAGATCAATGTGTTTTGTTCTTCTTATTGTTTGTTTGCATTTCATATGATTTTCTGCATATAAAGCCCAGGATAGGCAGATTTATAAAGACCATATCTGGATTGATAATCGCTTAGGGGATTATTGACATGGGAGGATGGGGAAAGTGGGGAGCTAGAGGCAAGAAGAAAATGTTTTGAAATTGATTGTGGAGATGATTGCACAAATCTGCTTAATATGATTGAATGATTCAATTGTATGGTATGTGAAGTATATCTCAACCAAAAATATGATCATAAGGGAGTTTAGTTTAAGTGCTCAGACACTAGTGATCAACCTGACACGGACACAACATCCCAGTGCATGCTTGTTTTTCTAGGACTCACTTTCATTGCAGCTCACTAAAGGATCAGATAATGCAAGTTAGAAATTAAATAAGCAAATAGAAACCACTCCTTCAAAAGAGGTAGTTTGAGAAGTATTGGCCCACTAGCCCAAGTCAGTTCTAACATTTGGTAGGTGACAATGAATGAATGTATGAAGGAAGGAATGAGTGAACAAATGCCAAAGAGTAATTGTTTTGTTGTAGAATCAGATCAGGTCTGGCTACAGTCCTTTCAGTTCAATTAAGTGATTTAACTGCCGAAGTGATTCGTGGGGCGCCCTCGCTGGGTGTCGGCTTCCTCTGTGGGGGGCTGAGTCAGACTCACCAGGAGCTGTGGGGCACATGCTGTCGGGTCTCTGGCTAAGGGCTGGAGGCAGCCCCATCATGGACAGACTTCTCAAGCAGAGCTGTCCTGATTGGGCAATTTATTCCCAGCCACATTCCCCCCCTGCCGCCTCCTCAACAGAACAATGAAGCAGTCTCACTTCAGGTTGGAAGGCGAATTTGTGAGATGTTAAGTGGTTTTTTTTTTAATAAGCGGAAAAGGTCATAATATTCTTATGCAGCCCTCTACAAAAACATGGTTGAAATGGTGGATCACTTAAGACAAGGAATTATACACAAAGGTGCAACAGGAGCCGAAATAGCTCATAAAATATGCTCTTGTTTCTGCAACTAATGATCTTCAAAACATAAACTAAGAGTGGACAATTTGTGTTCTTCAACTTACCTTTTCTTCTTTTTTTTAACTTACCTTTTCATTTTCTAAGTTCAAGAGGAATTTGATGTAGAAAAAGTTTTTTGCTGCCTAAACCTTCTTTCCAACAACAGAGTTTGGACTCTTTAATTTATCCCACAAATATTATGTGTCTATTTGGGGGGGGGGTCACAAGTAGACATCTACTAGTCTAATGTATACCTAATAGTTCAGTAGCCAATGCTAATAGACACACAGCCTGGATGTTCCTTAGAAGCAGCGAAGGCAAGATTATTCACATACTTTGGACATTTTATCAGGAAAGATACATTCACTGCCATCGAGTCGATTCCAACCCATAGCAATCCTATAGGACCGAGCAGAACTGCCCCATGGGTCTCCAAAACTATAGTGCTTTACTTAAAGCAAAGATTTAAAGAGTACTGAAAACAAGGATGTGACTTGATGACGAAGCTGTGCCTGACCCAAGCTAGGGCATTTTCAATAGTCTCATATGCAGGTGAAAGTTGGACATTGAATAAGGAAGACCAAGAAGAGTAGATGCATTTGAATTGCAGTGATAGAGAAGAATGTTAAAAGTATTATGGGCTGCTGAGAGGACGAACCAATCTGTCTTGGGAAATGTACGGCGTATGGTCCAAGTATTTCGTAGAGGCAAGGACAAACTTTGTGAAGCCCCCTGTGACAAGTTAGATTTTACATCAACTTGGTGGGCCAAGATTCTCCCACGATATGCTCTAACATTGTCTGGTCAACTCCATGATGGGATCTTTGGTGAAGTAGCCAAGCAGCTGTGGGAAGAACCGACCAACCTCCTTCATCTAGTGGCAGCCTTCATACAATTGAGAGAGGCATCATTCAGGGTGTGGCTACTCTAAGTGAAAACCAGCTCACTCCTGCTGAATTTAGATCCTGCATCTGATTCATCAGCCTCCTCTTATATTTCCCACTGATCCCAGAAGCCATCAGTGGACTGCTGACCTCAAATTCACTCGGTTTGGCATCTGCTAGCCTGTGGTCTTCCTGCTTGATCTTCCTGCTTCCTGTACAGCAATCCAGGAAGCTCTAGGAGTCAGGAGAAGCCTTCAGCTCACGCCTGACCCACAGTCTTGAACATGCCTAGACTTACTCACTTCTTCAATAGTGTGAGCCATTTCTTGATATAAAATTCTCTATATGTACATACAATTGTTACTAGGTTTGCTTCTTGAGAGAACCCATCCTTACACACCCCCTCATAGTCCTTTTGACAGGCTTATAATTTACTACATATTCATCCAACCGACTTTAATGTGTTCATCCTTTCTTATCTCTCTCAAAGAGTGTAAGCTCAGTATAGACAGAAGGTCATACACATTTATTAGATATTTTACACTCCACACTGGACCACTTCGTCACTGAAAAATGGATAAGAAGAAATCTTGGGAGATGTGAGGAATTATTGCTTATTCCAGAAAAAAACCAAAAAAAACAAAGATGCTGACTTTGTTAAATCAGTATCTTAAGTTGAAAATATATATTTTTTTCCTTCGAATGGCCCATGTTTTCTCAAGTATCTTCTGGTTCATAACTCTTTCTTATTTTTTTAAAAAAATCTTTTTATCGGGGACGCTTACAGCTCCTATAACAATCCATCCACCCCTTGTGTCAAGCACATTTGTACATATGTTGCCATCATCCTTTTCAAAACACTTTCTTTCTACTTGAGCCCTTGTTATCAGCTCCTCATTTTTTCCCTCCCTCCCTAATGAATTCTTGACAAGTTATAAATTATTATTACTTTGATATCTTATACCGACCTCTGTCTCCCTTCACCCGTGTTTCTGTTTTTGTCCCCCTTGGGAGGGGTGGTTACACATCGATCATTGTGATCGGTTCCCCTTCTCCCCCCACCTTTCCCCTACCCTAATGGTATTGCTACTCCTATTACTGTTCCTGAGGGGTTTATCTGTCCTGGATTCTGTGTATTGAGAGCTCTTACCAGTACCAGTGCACATGCTCTGGTTTAGCGGGATTTGTGAGGTAGAATTGGGGTCATGATAGTGGGGAGGAGGAAGCATTGAAAAACGAGAGGAATGTTGTATGTTTCATCAGTTCTATACGGCACCCTGGCTGGCTTGTCCCTTTCTTGTGACCCTTCTGTGAGGAGATGTCCAATTGTTTACAGATGGGCTTTGGATCTCCACTCCACCCCCTTCCCCCTCTTTCGCATCAATATGATTGTTTTTTCTGGGCATTCTGATGCCTGATACCTGATCCCATCAACACCTCATGATCACACAGGCTGATGTGCTTCTTCCATGTGGGCTTTGTTGCTTCTCAGCTAGATGGCTGCTTGTTTACCTTCAAGTCTTTAAGACCCTAGATGCTATATCTTTTGATATCTGGCCACCATCAGCTTTCTTCCCCACATTTGCTTATACACCCATTTGTCTTCAGGGATCATGTTGGGAAGGGAGCATCACAGAGTGTCAGGTTATTAGAACAAATTGTTCTTATGTTGAGGGAGGACGTGAGTAGAGGTCCAAGGTCCATCTGCTATATTAATATTTAATATATAATATATGTACATTGATCTATGTCCCTATTGTTATATATAAATATATGTACATATGTACATGCCTGCATTTAGACCTCTATAAATACCCTTTGCCTCCTAGTTCTTTCTTCTATTGCCTTTTACTTTCCTCTTGTCTCATTATCATGCTTGACTTTCATTCCTCTTTCAGTAATTCCTCTCAGCTACATTGCCCTTGATCAAGCCCCACCAGGCATCCTATGCCCTCCTCACCATTGATTTTAGATCCTTTGTTGTTCCCTTGTTCCTGAGTTTGTTGGCTCCCCAATTCCTTTCCCCCATCTTCCCCTCTCCCATGCCTGGCCCCCCTGGAACTGTCATAATTATTTCTTACAGTCTTGTGTGGGTTTTTTCCCTCCAGTGTTTTTGGAATATCAACATCTACAAAGTCTAGAGCAAAGAATGCAGAAAAGGTGCTAGGACTGGCTATATCCCAGAGAAGCGTGGCAAGATTGCATTCTTGCTGAAAGTTTGGCCATATTGCCAACAGGGCAGAACTTCCTTCTAAGTTAATATCCTTTACCAATCTTTAGGTTTTGACCCTGACTAGCACTTGTGATACTAAATCTTTGATGAAAGGAGCACAGAGCAGCGTGCACCTTGAGGGATTGGGAGGAGTCTGTGGGTGAACAGGAAGGATGTACCTTTGTAGCAGAGGGAGCACATGGTCACACAAAACATATGAACACAAACCACATGTTTGTCAGCTGCTTATCTTTCTTTTAATGCAGTTTTGAAGCCGTTTTCTAATTTGAGGGTCTCACAAATGAAGGGAGAAACATGGCCTTTGATAATCATGTTCCTCCTTCTGAAGAGTAAACCTAAGAGGCACCGGTGGGCAGAAAGCTGCTACCTCTAATACAAGTTTTGCTGCCAGACCTATGCCTTCCCAGACTTGGGCTTTTTTGCTAAAATTAGGTCATTTTGCTATCTAAGTGAGTCCTGCCTTCTGGACGGTCCTGCCAAAGAAACTCATTTAAAAAGCACACACACACATGCAAATAATAGACGGATCAAGCAATGAAAAATGTTCTTCTTACCGGGCTTTCCAGGGTCTCCCCAGGGACTCTGGCCTTGGTGATCTGGAGCACTGTGGCATGTCTGAGGTGACACTGGATCCGTCCCAGAGACCGAGTGCTTCCAAAAGACCCCGTCAGAGAAGCATTATTTTTACTCTCCAATCAAGCAGCCTTAAGAGCCTAGCTTCCAAGCTGCGGACACTGGACACAGGGTGTGGGTTGCCGCTGCCTTGCACTAGAATCAAGTAGTGGGTCTCTCCTTGGGGGCAATTAGCAGCAAGGTCTCCACACCTTTGGCTGTGCTCATTTATTCTCTCCTCTGAGCATGTCAACCTAGCCCCGTTTTAAATTAATTATAGCCCAGGATATAAAAACATCCCTGTGCTGATTTCCTCCTATACTTAAGTGGGAGCTTGAAGAAAGAAAACAGAAAACCTATAGGAAGGTATTAATCTACTTAACATTTTTTAAGTACATCATCCAAAAGATTTTTTTTTTTAAATCTTACATATGCTCAGCAGAGTTACTGGCAAAAACCGTACATTTTCTTCATTTCATCCTTTCAACATCAAATAGTAGGCGGCAAAAATTGGATCCGACTTCAAAGCCTGCTCTGGGCTCCAAGTCACAGAGAGGCGCCTCCATCTCACATATTGAATCCGAGCAGGATATCAAAGTGCTACCCAAGGACCTCGGGTCCTTCCTCAGAAAGAGGCTCTGACATCTGTCGAGAGAGGAGCGCACGGGCAAACCGCCGCGGGGAGCAGCTAGCGCTTATTCTCAGCGGCACTTTTTCGGGTTTGGGATTGATTTATCGGTTCACTGGACGCCCCTGCCTCTCCACTGCACCCGAGCGCTTTAGCAAGCCCGGCTTTTGTCTCAAGGACTTCAAACTAGCGCTAACAGTGCCATGTTTGGAGGACTGACCATGCTGCCACCAACAGCTTTTGGCCCCCTGGCCTTTTGAGGGGGTCTGAAGGAAGGGGACTTGTGGTTGCCTTAGAACCCAGGTGACCAGGTACCTACCTTCTTTGCCTGTTGCCTGAAGACATCACACACGTTCGGAGAACTCTGGGCTTGTAAATGCCTTAAAAACAAAAAAGTTGGGAAAGGCTTGAGAATGACCATTTTAAAGAATCAGGAAGAGAAGTGCATTTCTCCAAAGGTGCCCTGGTGGTGTAGTGGTTAGAGTGCTTGGCTGTGAAATGCAAGGTCGTTGGTTTGTGCCTACCAGGTGCTCTGCAGGAGAAAAAAACCGAGAAGACGTGCCAGTGTGTTTCAGTGTGGAGTTAGCGCCTTGGCAAATCTATGGGCAGTTCTACTCTGTCCTCTAGGGTCTCCATCAATCACAGTTGACTCTCTGCACCGTTTGGGGGCTTTGGGCTTTCCTTCCAAAGGTGCATCAAACAGACTCTTGGGTTAAACTTACTTTGTTTTGGCTTCTTTCCTTCGGTCCTGTTTCTTTCCTTGGTTAAAAGGATAAAAACAAAGCCTAACTCCTCTGCTATGGAGTCCATTCCAACCTTCCCGACTGTCCCCTGCAGTTTCCAAGGCTGTAATCTCAGCAGAAGCAGACTGCTCCTCCTCTCTCCCAAGGTTGACTAGAAGGCACGAATCACCAACCTTTCGGTAGGTAGCCAGGCGCTTCACCAATGTGTTAGTGCTCCTCCGCTAAAAGGATGGGTAAATTCTGTGAAATGTGTCCTACAAGGTGTTCCTGGTTAAAGGCCAGCAGTCTGAAGTCCCCCGGGACTCTCTGGGAGATACAGCCTGGGGATCTGCTCCTTTAGGCTATTTCTGCTCTGCCCGGTGTGGCCCCTATGAGTTGGAATTGACCCCTGGTAAACAACAACAGGTATTTCTCCTGTGACTCTAAGACACAAGACGGTGCCCCCTTTAAAGTTGTAGGATCGAATGTGGCTTATGGAACATTATGGGCTCTCACAAGCCCTACTAGACACCGAAGCTGACTGTACCACTCAGCACAGGCATCACGTGAATTGTTACGTAATGTAAAATGTATTCTGTTCTCAAATACGTTGGGGGAGTATTCGGTTACACGAAGTTGAAGGGGTTTCCTGACTACAGGAATTCTTTTTCACAATCACAATAGGCAGTTTCAGACCTCTAAGGCGGGGAGCGGTTTTCTTGTTTTCGAAGAGATTTCAGCAGCACTTCCAAACTAAGCTAGACTAGGAAGGAACGTTTGGTGATTGCTTTCAAAACCAGTCACTGGAAACCCTGGGGGTCACACTGATCCCAGAGCAGTAGCAGAACCGGCAGTGTTAGCTCTCCTGTGCATGGGGTTTCCATAAGGTAGGGATGGGCTTCACCCAAGTGCACATGAAAGTTGGACACTATCTAAGGAGGACTGGAGAAGAATCGGTGTATTTGACCGGTGGTGCTGGCGAGGGATACTGCGAGTACCACGGACTGTCAAAAGAACAAACGGATCTGTCTTGGAAGAGAAGCAGCCAGAATGCTCCTTAGAAACAAGTACAGACTTCGATGCATGTACCTTGGGCATGTTATCAGAAGAGACCAGTCTCTGGGAAAATGACATAGCGTTTGGCATAGCAGAGGGCAGCAAAAAAGGAGGAAGACCCTCCAGGACATGGACCAGTGCAGGGGCTGCAGCGAGGGGCTCCAACAGCACCACGGTGAGGATGGCACGGCACCGGACAATAGTTTTTTCTTTCTGTTGGGCATGGGGTCATGATGAGTGGGAATGGACTCAAAGGCACCCAACCACAACGCCAAGGGACGTGTGGAGGGCACCCTGCAGGCTCTCCTAATGTCACCAATACCTGCAGGGAGGGGGATAAATGGTCTATTTCCGAGGGTGCATATTTGTTTATCACATGCTTCCCACAATGGAACATAAGCACCACAACAGCAGACACTCGCCCTGTTCTATTTCATATGCTCTGTCAGCACCCAGCCCAGTGCCTGGAGCATAACCAGTGTTCATTCAGTAGATATGAACAAGTTCAATGAATGAAAGAATGAGCAGTGCATCCTTCAAAGTACGGGGGCATGAAAACTGGTGAAAAATGACCTTAACATTGGAATGAATGAATTCAGAAAGACACTCTGGTGTAGTGGTGGGTGATGCAAGGCCAGCAGTTCGAATCCACCAGCTGCTCCACAAGAGAAAGATGAGGTTTTCTACCCCTGTAAAGATTTATAGCCTGAAAAAATCCAAAGGGACTGTTCTTTGGGTTGCTAAGAGCTGAGTCAACTCAGTGGATTTGTTATTTGGGGGCTCATATTTTTATTATGATTTCAAATATTTAATGAGAACTCCACACCACTGAATCAGGCTCTTTCATTGTCCTTATTATATCATTGATGAAACAAGTCTGCCGAGGTTAAGGGAGACTGGTCCGGGCATCATGGCAAACACCTGGTAGAGTTAGGGCCCTGACCCATGCTTGCCTGGGCCCCCAATCCTCTGCTCTTCCTCTGAACCATGAGGCCCTCGAAGCACTTGGTCTTTGTGTATTGGCCCAGGGCAGCCTCGGGAAGTCCCCGGGGGTTCTGGGGCACAGAGACAGAAGGTGAATGCCGGATCCTTCAGGACAAGAATTCTTAAACTTTTTCCACCCGCGATCCTTGTTCAACTGAGAAATGTGCAACGCTGGCATGTGCTGCCACAAACACCTCAGATTCATTATGTGTTTGATTTAAAATTAATTTTTGGTCATTGGGGGTTCAGAAACCTTTTACTGTTGCCAAATGTTTGTGACCCTCCCATCCCCCGCCCTCCACTCACACATATTCTGCTACGAGATTCCACCATTTAAGAAACTTTGCTCTAAGCGTCCCGGGAAATGCTTCAGAAAAATCTCAAAATGTTTGGTTGTTGAACGACTTCCGGACCCCAGTTTCTGTGTCTCTGCCTAAAAAAGACGTGACCTTCCAGAGGGCTCCTTCGGCTTGGTCCACTCTTCGGGATCCAAAGGCCAGGGCGGGCACACCCAGCTCTCTATGAGGGACTGGTTCCTTGCTTTGGCTCCCTCCTCGTTCAAGGAGAAGGGCCCCAAAGTGGCCCAGATAATGTACTCACGGCTCACTCGATGAACAAGAGGACCGTGTGTCTCTCAACAAACGAGGGCGTGAAAGCATTCGCAGGAGAAGCCCATTATATCTGAGTTCCATGCTTCCATGAACGTTTGGAACCCCCTTTGTAGATGAAAAATGACTTGATTGAACAAAGTTAATTAATTTTCTTTACAGAGAGGCTTTCCAGCACCTTTATTTTAATAATATGTACGCTGAAACTTCAAACGAAGAAAAGAATAAGGAGCGTTTTTTCTGACTTTATTTTAACCATGGACTTTTCTCTCATAGAGCATCATGGGGGACTATCCATTCTTAGAAAACACTGCAAGAAACACTTCAAAGAGCTAACTACCTCAAATCCGATGCAGCACTTTCATCAAATACATTGTCACTTGTTTCAGGGCCCCTAGGCTGGCAGGGAGTGGCTCATGTTCTGCAAGCCATACTACCCAAAGAAGGAAATGTTATATAATAACCAATAGCCAGTGCTTATTGCGTGGGTATGGTCAGTCCACCAGGCCCCAGCAAAGCATGGACACATGGTTGTTTCATGGAATACTCCAACAACCATGTGGATCGGTTCTATTTTATATAGATCCATTTTACGGATGAGGGTAGTAAGGATCAGGAAACAAATGGCTTGCTTACAGCTAAAACCAGTGTGCTGGTTAGATTTTTGCATCAACTTGAGTCTGTATGAAAAGTGGAGGGGTGGAATCCTCCAGAGGCAGTCCCATGTGGGCCACCTGACCCTGAGAATGGTCAGTGTCCTGCATGGTTCCCCGAGATGCTGCACCCACTGGCCTGTGAGTGTCCTGCATCCCACTTGACCGTTCTGTGTTGATTGCCAGCAGCTATGGCTGAAGTGGAGCCTGGCTAGCACTGGACTTGTGGACTGAGTCGAACTGGGCTGAAATGCCTTCTTGCGATAAGACCATTTTTTATATAAAGCCCTTTCTTATAAAAATTTGAGATCCCTGGTTTTGCTTCTGTAGACAACCCTGTCCAACACAACTAGGAAGCAGTGCCGAATAACACCTGCTGATTAAAGAAAAGGAGACAGTCCTCTAGGGACGTTATTGATTCAGACAAGAATCGTCAATGGCTGACAAAACCATTAGGGAACAAGCAATTCCTATGGTCCCGATGTACCTGCTTTCTTCATGGAGGTCATAGAGGGACCATGTGGGAAGCGGAACATTGGAGGAGTCTGAGCATCACCATCGTAGGGCAGTGCGCAGTCTTAGCACCAGTCATGCGGGGATACCATGTCTTTAGGGACAACATGAAACATAAAACCCACCCAGGAAGTGTTGCTTCTTTGGATCAAAGCTTGACTGACATCAAAGCTTTAGGTCTAATTGACAGTTTACACAAAACACGGGGAAGAGAGAAGCTGCACAGCATCGCACGGAAGCCACCAGGTAAATTCAGAAAATGGGCTGAAGAGCCGCGGCAGCATGGTGCTCTAGCACCCAGTGACCAATAAAAGGTTGGTGGTGTGAAGCCAGCCAGCAGCTCCACAGGAAGAAGACTAGGAGAGCTGTCCCACACAGACTCCGTTCCGGGATACAAAGGGGGCAGTGCTGCTCTGACCTCTAGGGCCACCAAGAATCAGAACGGGCTTGAGAGCCCCTCACCTAACCACCAGCCGCACCATCTGCCTTAGTTGGTTGGACTTCCTAAAAGTCGGGGGCATAAAAATAAGGGCAATTCTGTATTAAAGAGACACCTATAATAACTCGATGCAATACTATGTCCTGGATCGGATCCCAGTTTGGACAACCAGGTACAGAGGACATTCTTGGAATACTAGTGGGATTTGAGCATGGATTAGTAAAACCCAAACATCAAACCAAACGCGCTGCCACCAAGTTGCTCCTGACACATAGTAACCCTATAAGGACAGAGTAGAACTGCCCCTGTGGGTTTCCAGGATTAGAACTCTTTCTAGGAGGGAGCCTTGTCTTTCTCCCAAGGAGCGGCGCTGGTGGTTTGAACTGCTGACTTTGTGGTTAGTGG